GTGACTAAAAATGAGGCTAGGGTTTCTAATTTTGGTTTATATATGTATATAAGGGTAGTTTTGTAATTACATTATTAAGCGGGGGCGGGGACGGGGGCGGGTATGGGTGCGGGGGCATGGTGGGTATTAACATCCTCGTCCCCGCCCCCGCCCCTGATTTTATCAATCAGGGAAAACCCGAACCCGATAAACACGGGTTTTCCCCGTCCAAATTGGGGCGGGTTCGGGCGGATACCCACGGGGACGAGTTAGATTGTCATGCCTACTTTTAGTCGTTAATAAATAAATAAAATACATACATTTGAAACATTAACTTTGGAAATCTTAAAATTGTTTTGCTAGTGATATGTGAACATCTAATACATGTCTAGTATTAATTGAAGATATTAGAATATTGATTAAGGAAATTAATAAAATATTAATTTAATGTGACACTAAGTTCTAAAGAATAAAACATCACAAAATGAAAGTGGATACCCGTCTTAAAGGTTTAATATTCATTTAATATTGGTTTTTTCACAGCATTTTGAAATTTGTTAAAATGAGAAAAATTAAACACTTCAACACTTTTGAAATTAAATTAATATCTCTCATAATCGATTTATTATAATAATATTTGACAAATTAAAATCATGTCTTGTAAATATATATTAGTTCTTTATTATAGTATCGGAATAATTTTTTTTTAATATCTCTCATATTAATGATTAATTGGTAGATTGGTTCAAGTGATACATGTTTAATTTTCTTTAAGAACTTTATTTGATTCAAACTTAATGTATGGATTTTTTTTTAATATTTAAACTCGCCATATTATAGATATTTTCTGTTCGAACATCATTACCTCCTTTGGAAGATATATGATTACAAAAATTAATATCTCTCGTGAAAAAACAAAAGTGGAATTCAAAAGTGCCAAGTCATGTTCAATTATTTAACGAATTGCAAATTATATTCTATCTGGACTTATATATGTGTCAAAGTATTTAAAATTTTTGGAATTAAATATAATATATTAGTTCTTTATTATAATATTGGATCTAATTGATTAGTTTAACTAAAAATTAACTGAGAACTAGTCAACTGAGTGGTCCAAACAACCTAGAAAATTGGTGGAGTAAAAAATCGGTTAGAACAGCGAAAATCGATTAAAATTCAGAGAACAAATTGATATTTTTTAAGATTTAATTTTTAATTTTAAAATATTTTTTTGAAAATAAAATATATATAATTTTAAATTATTTTTAAGTTTTAAGTTTTAATTTTTGATTTTAATGTAGATATAAATTATTATTATTTGAATATTTATTATGAATTTTTTCTTAATAAAATATATATAATTACCACTATTGTTCCTTTATAATTGTAAGTTGTTTTTGCACAAATCAAGCAACATAATGATTTTTTTTTTATTTTCATAAAATGGTTTTAATGTTTTCTGTTATATCTTCTTCATTTTTGTTTCATAATAAATACATATTAATTATTATGTGTAAATTAATTAAAAATTAGGTGAAATATAAGAAAATAATTGATAACATAATAATTAATATTGTCTTAAAATTTAAAAATAAAAAAGTAAATAGAAACAAAATTTTACTAAAAATAACTTACAAGTAAAAAGGAATAGAGAAAATAGTATTAGTTTGTAAAATGCACATAATAATTTTTTATTTATATAACTAAAATTTATAATAAATAAAAATTTTGAATTTATAAATTATATTATAATTAAAATATAAATAAATAAATATTTTTATCATATTAATTTAAATTATAAGCTTATGATAAATAATTTATGAGAAGAGATCCACTAACTAAGTATAAGTCTTAATAGACTTATTTCATCCAATAACTCATGTTTTATATCAAATTTTAACGATTTAATCATTAAATTAAAAGTTCTTAATATATAGATTAAGTTTATAAATTTAAAAAAAAATTGAAAGTCATATGATAATTTGTTTCATTAATTTAATTGATGGATAATTATAAAAAAAAATTATATATAAATTTCAATTTATATAATAAA